CACACACACACACACACACACACACACACACACACACACACACACAAAGAAAAGGCTGTTTACTTTAGTTCCCTTTCAACAATAAATCTTATTTCTGAGCTTAAAATCTGTTTAAATTGTTGATTAACACCACCGGCAATGGGCCTACACACTGTGAGCTAATTTGTTGTCCTGCGACGACCCCCTTTGTTGAGTAACATGGCATCCTGTAATCTCGATGAGTCACTACTGCCTTACAGTAAAGCACAAACTGCCACTGATGTGTTACATGATGCCAACTCCGCTCTGACGTTTCCACATAATAGTTTTAGAGCGAAATAACTGGCGACACGCAGCAGATAGCTTCTGGGCAATAATGTAAATACAACAACAGGCGCGCTCAGTTCAGGGTCCATTTTTTTTTTGAAAATATCCCCCCACTTCTCGAAAGAGCCACAACTGTTAACAATATTTAATTCAGCGCTTCGAGAAACGAAACTACTCTTGGCCGTGATAAATAAAATACTCCACTTACTTTGACGCGGTAGCAGCAAATCCGCACCTCTGCTTTTTTTTTTTTATTTCTCTCTTCGAGGATGTTATTGTAAACAAAGCAGCACATGGCTTTTTGTGCCCAGTCACTCGCGGTATCCCTCCGCCATCCCTCCGCTCTTAAAAACAGTCCCGGCTGTTGTTTTCAAACCACAGCCAGCCATCTTCTAATGTTAGCCTAGGGTTAGCCGGGGTGTACTGAACACAAGGCGCAGGCAGCCCCATCACTGCGAGCTTATTGCTCTTAATCTCTTGGCGGTGGAAGTAGCTTTCTTAATGCTATCGATGGTTCATGCACCACAAACTTCAGCCTTTAAGCGGTCGGTTAGATTCACGAATGATGACTCGGGCGTTTGTGAAGTTTATTCGGACCTTTAGAGTGACTCAAGCACCGCTGCAAATTTAAACTTACCGTAACGTAACGTTGATGGTGTTGTTATAATGGTCGATTTTTAGTAAAACCCTGCCCTTTTAGATGTTTGTGTAACAGAAATAAAGTTTGTTTACCCAAAGTAAACAATCACTTAGAGTCTTCTTACGTTTTTAGAAATATATATACATATTGTGACCCTCAGCGTAAACGTGCTAAACACAGAACAGCACGTTAACAGGTTAACTGACAGCAGCTAGCTCGCGGTTACTAGTTAACCCGATTTGAAGACGTTTAAACACCTCAACTAAACTAAATGTGGACATTATAAAATTCAGTTATTAAAAAGCGAAGTAGGGGTTAACTTACTGCCATTGTGTACCATTAAATGTTAAGGTTGCGCTCGCGTTTGATATGAACTTAGCTAGCATTTGAGTGGCCTTTATAAAGTTATCTGAAACGATGATCAACTTTTCAGCCTAGTGCTTTATCTTTGACTTTAAATGTTACACATTAAAAATGAAAACCTTCGCGACATTAATGATTATCTTTAGTCGAACAGCTCGTGTAACTGTTGAGACATGTGCTTGCTGCTGCACAGTGGCGCCTGCTCCTTTGTTTAAGGATCCATCCGGGTCACCGTGGAGCCAACAGCCTCTGTCGGTCGCGCGCGCGCACGCGCACACACACACACACACAGTACCGAAGTCGTTATCAAGAGGATAGCTAATGTTCACACAAGTTTGTGCAACTTATTTTTAACACTGCTCCCGTGTGTCGCGCGTTTCTTGACACCATGTGCAAGCACTCATTTATTTTCTATCATTGTTTTCTTTCAAGTTGAGTTAGTAATGAAACGAAGCGGTAATGTTGCGCTTTCGCACATGAAATCAAATTTTATATTATATCCAACTTCATAGCCAGTACACCCCGTGATATACGTTCACCAAGGTCTCGTGTGGGATTTTAGAAGTCATTTGGTAAAAAGTTGACTAAAACGGCCAACCTGTTGCTGCCATGACGTTAAAGATGAAACATTACCTTTCTCTGCTTCGTAATCCTTGCGAGCCATGATTGCAGGTATTGCGCTTCAGTTAAGATAACTTACTTCCAAAAACGCGAGGGGAGAAACGCAGTTTATCTCAAAGCTCGGTCTTTTTAAAAAAAAATTCACTAACACCGGACACTTATTCACTAGCAGCCAGCGCTTCTCCCCTATCTCTGTACAAGAAGTGGCGCGAGTCTGACGTCTCCCTCAGCCAATAGAGTCGCTTCTTTCGGCGGGGAGAGGCGGGATTCGGTGGTGGCGCGAAAACTGCGGGCAGTCTGGTGTCACCTGACTGTGCGAACTTCCGCCCCGTTTGTCAGGAATGGCGCGAAATGCGATGATTGGATTCATGCGCAACCCAGTGTCAACAGGGTGAGCGTGGAACGAATGAACCCAACATAATGTCATGATTTACAGCTGTATTTTACGGAAGCGTAGAGCTGCCACCCAGGCAAAAGAAAAATACAAGTGTATCACGTTATAACGTGAAAGGTTTATTGTTCTAACAAGATACTTTTCCTGTTTGTACAATATACTTTTCACGTTTGAACAACATAATATCACGTTATTACAATATACATAATCATCATTGTACGAACGTGATAATTGATTCCTTCCTTATATGAATGGTCATTCTTTTTTGTTTGTTTGTTCTAGTGACAGATTATTTGTGTTTGTTTTTAGCAAATACATCTGCAGTGTTTGAATTGTACACCAAAAGCTACTGGCAGTTCAGTTCAAAACTTAATAGGAACATTTTTTCATACAGCCTTATCATCTCATCTAATCGACTGCGAGAAAGGAAAAAAAACATATTTATCAACGTGTCAGAGCACTCCTTACATTGTGGTACATCTTATCTCCTATTATATTGTACGAACATAATCATCACGTTCGTACAATATAATATTTATATTGTACGAACGTGATGATTACGTACAATATAATATTTATATTGTACGAACGTGATAATTATGTATATTGTAATAACGTGATATTATGTTGTTCAAACGTGAAAAGTATATTGTACAAACAGGAAAAGTATCTTGTTAGAACAATAAACCTTTCACGTTATAACGTGATACACTTGTATTTTTCTTTTGCCTGGGTGGCAGCTCTACGCTTCAGTAGTATTTCCCCATTTTATAACATACATGTTATATAGCAAATGTTTTTCTGACATTTTCTCACATATGGAAATATAATGAAAATGTTGCACATTTTAATTGTCATTAGGTTGTATGGAAGCTTGTTTGTGGCTTAAAAGTGCCTGTCATAGCCAAGTCAACATTTTGATGAGTCTTAAAACTTTGACTTATTGAGCAGCTCAACTTTAAGTTACTTACAACTAGGAATAAATTTTGAGACGCCTAATAATCACCCCCCCTCCCAATTAATTTTCTGTATACAGTGCTGAATCACAACAGTAGTTATATAAATTTGCCATTTATCACAACAGTTGAGGGTGAGGGGAGGAAGACAGACAAGTACTTTAAAGCCATTTCAGAGAAAGTCAAAATTTCTAGATAAATAACCTCAAGTTTTGATTAATTAAATAGAGAAAACCTAAAGCTGATTCTTAAGGTTTTTGATCACTGTAAAATACCACCATATATCTTGACTCCTTCCACTTGTTTTTCTAAGCTCTTTCTGCTTCATGGTGTAATTCACTACAAAGCAATATGTGTTACTTTGTGCATGTTGTTACTTTTATTAATCTTTTACAAAGGATACCCTCGGAATTCATTTTGATCTTGTTTATTAGTGATTTTTTTGACCTAGAAATAAAGCAAACAAATCACACATTACAAACAGGAATAACTAGTAGTGCTTCAGTGTATCTAAATAACATTTTGAGTTTGTTCATTTTTAAAACAATACATTGTAATGCCTTACTTTTAGTATTGCTTTGTAAAATCAGGCATCTTTAATATAAACAACAATATCTTCAACAAAAAACAAAAACAAACTGTGATGTCAACAGTGAAGGCTATTTTGAAAAATGTGAAACTCGTAAGAGCTGACGAAAGACAGAGGAACCAAGTCCAACTTTAGTGAAACATTTATTCTGAACATCGTTATTTTCAAAACATTCCTATTAATACATCAGAACAGCTTCTAATTCCAGACTTCCCAATCAACAACAAAATTAAGAGACAAAAACAGGTCTGACAGGTGAACTTGCCGTCATTAAGAAGAACAAATGACTTAATATTCATCACACTGAAACTGTAGAAGTCCTGAACAGATGATCCCCCGCTAACCTCAGTCAAAGAGCTCATCAAGGACACTCAGTGAGGTGTGACGTGTGGAAGGCTGCAAGCAAACAAGTTTTAGTTTTCAAGGTATGTTGTACTTGATTTAGATTTATGTAACATATTTGTATTCAAAGGGTATAAATATAGCACTAGGAGCAAAGTTCAAAACATCACACATGTGCTTCTTTTCCTCTCATCATAAATAGCTTTGTACATATTTTTTTCTCTGCACAGATCCTACAACTGTGGTCACTGAAGGACCAAAATGAATTTGTGGTGACATGTATATGTTCCTTTTAAAGAATTAATTCATTTGTACCTTAGCTGACCAGGTGCTGTTAAAACAGATTGCACAGTCATGAGAGAAAGTAAATATGATGTATTTGGGTTTTTTTTGTTCTTACCAGTGTGTATCCAGTGTCAGAGTCACTGTGATAATCTTCAATCTCGTCCTCATCTCTTTCTGAGATGTCATCTTCAATCAGGGAAAGCCTGCGAAGCACACACACAGATCCATTCTGTGATTATTTCTGGTTGAAAATGGCTTTTGTAAAATGGAACATATTCACAATTTAATAGTAAGTATTAAACAGTCTAAAAATCAGTCTTACAAGTTGAGGTGGGAGTTCAGGTCTTGCTGCCTTGGAGAGGGGGTGTTCTTGCTGGAGGAAGCCAGCCATCTTTTATTGAGTTTCACTTTTCGCATTTGTAACCTGGAGAGCAGCAGAAGACAATTTTCCAACTTCACTGTCTACCTGCTGTATTCTGTGTCTATGATTATGCCTTAATACACAGGGGAAATTAAATTTGTTTCATCATAAGCAAAACTCTGCAGGAGCTTTAATCTTCCTTCTTTTGCTGATTGCCCTTTTGACCAGTAACACAGCACACAGAAAAGAAAGGTACTGACATGAAATCATCTGACCCATGGCAGTAATTTACAAATGCTCGAATCAGAGGCAGCAGATACTGCAGACATGCTGATCATAAAATTTTACTTACCCTGGGGAGAACTCATCCTCTGACTCCGGCTCAGTTAAGGTGCTGCTGATATCCGACTCCACGGGTCTTGGTTTCCTGGATGCAATCCGCTTGGCGGGTTGCTTCTGGACAGTGGAGGTGAGGGCTGGGGTGTGCAGGCTGCTCTGGATGCTGCTGTTGTCCAACCAGGATCCTCTGGTGGTGGACGCTGAACCTGCAGGAGAGACAAGTCACCACACAAAGATGATGACGCTTTAATTGACAAGGTAAAGTAGCAAATTTGCTTCCTGCAGAATTCAGCAGATTCCCAAACACACATGTACATGTGAAGTAAAAATACCAAAGAATAAATGTTTTTAAGGCTTTCGAAATGTGAAGAATGCTATTAATTTTACATCACTGTATTTTGAACAACTATGACAGTTTTGCACTGTTTCTCTTAATGGTACCGAGTCATTACAGCAATTCCTGGACTCAAAATCAGATCAACTCCATAAGTTACCACCCAACCCAAACCAACAACAGAAAGAAAATAATGGACACATGGATCATGTGCTAAAAAGAAAAAGAATAATATTCTTGTTATTATAACTGATTACGATAAACGATTTCACAATTTGGGTTGAAATAACTGCTTTGTCCTGACATTTGGGTCACTCCTCCTCTGAATGGCCCCAAATATTAATCAATCCATTTTCTTCCACATATCCAGTTACATGGGGCGAACTAGATAGCTGTCCACTAGGGGTGGGTTTTTATAATCGATTTATCGATTAAAATCGATTCTGGCTTGGATAACGTAAAATCGATTCATTAAAATTCTGAATCGATTTTTTGATATAAATTTATTTTGCCCGAAATGCCAGAATCTCAGGTTAAATCTCACAAAATTTCAACAACAGCTAAGACAGTAAATGAGAGCAGGAACACGGATTCTGCACAAAGCCTTAAACACACAGCGCAACCCGCTGATCAGAATCAGTGAGATGTCGCCTTTCTCACAGTCGGGGCTGAAAGCCGACAGCTCGCTGATTCTGATGTTTCGGCGCTTTGTGTTCACGCCCTTTTTGCGCTGATTCTAAAGCTGTTAGTTTGATCTCTCTCCAAACAATATTGACCGAACCAGCAGCAAAAGAAGATCCAAACTACGCTTCACATAAACATCGTCATGAATTCACTCTGACTTTTACTGTTTTGCTTCGACCACGATGCACAGCTCTCTCTCTCTCTTCAAGAACAGTTTCCCGTCTAAAAATCTGTTTTCTGCATTATTCGCTTGCTTGTTACGCACAAGTCTACCGTTGTTTACAGGCTGTCGGCCGATGTTTTTTTTTGTAGAAAAAGTTACATTGCTGTAACTTCAGAGGTAATGTTCATGTGTTGATTAATGGTTTTCTTTCGTTTTTGATGTACTGCAGAATATTTTTATAAAATCCAGGCCAGGAAAATCTCCTTCATGTTTTTCCGTGTTTTATCCTCAGCTACTTTGACACAAAGACATCTGCTGTGACGCTCACACCTTTGATAAAGTCTTGCATGTGTCAGCTTCCTTTTTATTGATACAAAAATATGTAAATGTACTGATCTGAATTATAATATTTCTGACTGTCAAAATTTCCCAGATTCAAATCAAATTGAATCGAATCGTGGATCGAATCGATTCGGGACCTTGTGAATCGGAATTGAATTGATTCTAGAATTCAGTGACGATACCCAGCCCTACTGTCCACCCTGGACAGCTAGCTAGTTCATCTCAGGGCTGCCCCAGAGAGACAAACAGAGGGCATGGGGACAACATGCAAACTCCACACAGAAAGGTGGATTCAAACCTTCTTGCTGCAAGGTGGTAGTGCAAACCAGTGCACCAGTGTCATTTTTTTCCATCAATTTGTACATAGCCTCATTGGCAAATAGTAGCTAATACTGAAAATAACAATGAGACACTTCTTAGGATTAAAGAGCACTTCGTTGGCATATATCATGTCCAACAATCATATACCTCTCCTCATCCTCGCCCTCTGACCATAAGACAGGGGTAAGACTGAATTTTCCATTAAATTAAGTTAAATTAAATTGACTTCCCACTTCTAAGCATTTTTTAAAAAACTAATTATCTCTGCTATGACGTACAGTATATCCATGCAGAGTGTTTGGTGTAGCATGTGCATCACCCTGAGCTGTGGTCCTCCTGCGTTTCACTACAGGCATGTCATGAGAAGGGACTTCGTCATCTCCCTCCTGTTCAGTGGCTTTAGAGGTGGCGCGAGCTTCCAAAGAACGCTGATACAGTTTGACTGGCGGCCAGGAGAGGGCAGCGCTGGGACATGCCGATTTCAGAAACTCAGCTCTGGGAGGAGATGACAGAGAATCAGGATGGGACAAAGACTGAGGAAACCTTTGTTTGCATTTCATTTTCAGTTTCACTGGAATTGAGCAAATAATTGTGAATCTAAGTTAAATGAATAATATGATCAACGCAACGAATATGTAACAAGAATGAAGACACTGTTTTATTTTGTTTTACCTGTAATATAATAATTCATGTGGATTCATGACATCACAAGTATTCTCTCTCAAACTGTTGCTAAGTGAGATTTTTTTTCCTACATATGTATAACATACAGAAATACATGTGCAGTGTTACGAGTGAGCGTTTCTGTGTGTTTTTGCTTCTCACAGCTGGGCGCGGTCCGGCTGCAGTAACTTAAAACTGAACTCGCTGAGGATCTCCAAGAAGGCCACATTTGGATTTGGCTCCTCTCCCTCCTGTGGGTCCCGAAATGCGAAACGTATGCCGTCCCTGATAAAAAAGAAAGACAACACAAACAATCTCTTGACATAAGGAGAAACACAAAATGAACAACCACAGTGTGAAGAATACTGTAATTTCTCTTTACAGTCCTCAAATCTGATGATTTCTTACTAGCTCTGAGTTAATTATTACGGATGATTTCTGCCATAAAGTAGCGTTTTTCTATGTGAAACTGTAGCTGCTTCTAAAAATGCTACCATAGAAGTAACAGAAAAATAAATAAATAGGTAAACTAGGTCATGGTAAGGTTGGCCTGTGTGCATTTGTCAAGAGAAACGTGTGTTACTGACATGTGCAGGGCCACCAGTGGTTTGCGGACACGATGAAGATCAATGCCAAAGCTCATGGCAAGCCTCTTGGCCAAGTCTCTAATCTCAGTGAGATCCTGCCTGCTGTGGTGCTCCGTGAGCATCTCTGAAAACAGCTGAGCACACACAGACATGTTGCATAAAAGGCACGATATATATCTGGATATGCACAAACAAATATTCTGTGTTGGTTAGTTAAGGCTGCAAACTTTTAAGTAATTCAAGTACTGGTTGTAATTATAGAAGAGAACTCCCACATAACCCACGAAAATGAAGAACATGTGTTTTAATTTCAAATTAAGAGACAGTAAATATGTGCAGCTGGTTATTTAAATTGGAAAAACAACTCAGAATGTACTTCAGCTAACACACAAAGTTTATTGTGTATGTGACACTCGTCCTTGCATACAAAAAGGTCACTGATATGGAGCCCTGTATACTTTAGGTAGGTGTTTTATAAAAAAACAACAATTTTTTTTTTAATGTGAAAACTGAGGGAAAATCCTCATCAGACTACTGTAATGTGCTTAAGTAACAAATGAAATGATAAACAGTAATACAAACTGTGGGAATTTTTAACCATTAAAACCATTAGGTGATATCTGTTCCTGTCAGCAGTGTACCCACGAATATACAAAACCAGTTAACTGGCTATTTTTATAGTGAAGAAAACTAACTCTGTTATGCTTCGATTGGATAAGTCACAGCAAATCTTAAATATTGTTTGATTTATGACTCCCAAGTTGAAGAGTTTGAAAGCATCTCCCTATCACGTACCTACCGCTGACTGAAACACTAATAACTGTGTTGTTTTTAGAAGACCAGCATGCACTTTTCATCTCACCTCTCTCCTTCTGTGCCCCCGCTGTGAGCCTCCTACACTGTGCCAGGGAGGCGCACTGCACAGTTTGATAACCTCTACACTAAATACAAAAGATTACAGTGACATGCAAGTGCACACCTGCTGCAGACTCAGACAGACAGTCTTGGCGCTCTGCACGGGGTTGATGAGCTTGCTCTTGCTCAGAGTCTCTTTGATGATGTCACCAAAGTCCTTAAAGTACTAGCGGAAAAACAAACAAACAAACCAAAAACCAGAAAAACATCAAATCTATTTAATTAACAGCTCTGATAAATGTCTGAAAAAAAATTAATCGGACCCAGTCTGTTCTAGTCACCTGTGCCTCTTTTAGCAACCGTACTCTCTGACTCATTCCCAGCACCTCGGTGGTTCTAAAACAGATTTTCTCACCCTCCTCCACGCTCTTACACATCCTCTCCATTATTACTTTTTTATGAATCTGCTTCCCGTCTTTCTATCCCAATTAATTCCCCCAAAGAATGTCGGTCCAACGACTGATCTCCAACTAGATTACTAAAATCACGACTTTAACTTTTAACACATTTTGCCTACATTCACGCAGAACTGTGATACAGAAACAGTAAGAATTGTAATATGTGTAAATATAATGTGTTTGTGGTCATATGTGATAGGCTGGGCTGATAAAACCCAACAATCCCTCCACCTTGTTGTAGTGCTTGAAGACATCTGTGGCAGCAGTTAGGTCCAGCACCCCGTAGATGACCAGCTTACAGTAGCCAGCAAGTTGGTTGCGCTTCTTCTGAAGAAGACGTATCTTCATCTCCTCCTCATCCTCAGCTAAAGAGGAGAGCCAGGTTGGCAGAAATGAGGAGTTAACAGTTTAGAAATGCAGAGATAGAGGGAAAGCATGCTGTGGGGTCTATAAGAGCATGAATGAAAGGGATATTTGGCAGAACATTATAAAATATGGAACAGAAAGTGGATACAGAAGAAGACTTAAAACAAGACATCAAAAACTGTACCCACAGGCAGTGATACAACTAAGCAGTTTCCAAAATATGGTGCAAGCTAATAAAAACTACATCCCTTTCATTATTCAGTTCATTCTGACATCTGCTAACAGTGCTGTCGCTTTGTCAACACTGGCTGAGAAAGCGACAAATTGCTTCTGGAAAGTATCACAGTTCATGCAAACATTTATTGAGAGTAGGCGTACATTTTTCAGTTGGTGTCAAGATGCCATGGAGCTCGACGTCTTCGGTGTCAGTGAAGATGTAGTCCAGAAGGAAAGCGGCCAACTCAGACCGCAGAGAATCAGATGGCAGGTGGGCCAGTGCCTGGAGGGCAGGCTTGGAGCGGACTGAACCCACACTGTACAGCAACAGCAAGTCACATAACAGCTCAAATGCCTGTAAGGACAGAATTTATGTTATCCAAATATCAAGACCCAGCTCTATATGACTCCGAAATTAAACTGATGAGTAACTATTTAGTTTGTAAAGAAAATTATAGACTATAAATCTGATTATGTTTGTTTATATGATGACAACAAAAAGAATAACATGATAAATTAACATATATATCTGTGTTTTAATACAAAAACGTAACAAAAATGTGCCAAGCACGACTCATTTTGTAAATGGTGAGCCAAACTAAAGTCAAAAGGTGGCACTTTTGGGTGGCACTCTTGTTCCTTAGTCTCATCAACCGTCACAGATCGTCTCTGGTTTGAAAACATCAAAGGCATCATCACAGGACTTTACTAGCCTGAGTGTGATGCAATGGTGGCTGCATCCATCATTACACACAGCCCCAACATGTTTGAGTAAAACTTATTTAGTGTGTTTTGTACTCTTCACTAAAGTTTGATTGTTTTTAAAAGCCCAAATTTATTATACATCACAGTCTAACTGGTCTAAGGTTTTTGTTTTTGTTTTTAAATATAAGACACCATTGCAATCATCTGCTAAAATGAGGTTTAAGTAAATAAATGAATTTTATCAGCTCATGGGTTTTGAAAAAAAATCACTGCAAACAAAGCCTCACAAATCTTTTTAATCCTTTCACCTCCATACCACCAGGGCAGGTATTTTTCCTGACAATTTCACACAGGCCAATATATTGTGCATCACTGTATACCGTGTTCTCCATGGTTTGTTTACAGACACTGGACATCTCACTGAGACTTTGGTATAAGTAGGGTGGTGTAAATATTCAAAGATTAAAATCAATTACAATGATTAAGGAACCACAATAATCAAGATAAAAAAATTACCGTCCATCTCTTTGGAAACAGTTTGGCTTCAAGGAGTCCAGCAGCAGCAGCAAACGAAAAGGTTTAATAGCACTCACGATCGTACTGTTTTGAAGAATTGTAATCTGAGTAATTACCAAAAAATTATTGTGATTTTTTGCCATAACTGATCAGTCGCAGTAATTTTCAAACACTTTCATTTCAAGTTATGTTTTGTCATGTCCCACAGGGTGATCTAGGTCTGTTGTTTTGGACCGATATCCTAAGATGGACTTTTGTCTCAGATAGCCAAGTGTAAAGTTGCCTTTAGTTAAAAAATGATATGGCTTCACTAGTACTTCACATATGGGATTGGGGCGCACTGTAAAAAGAAGAAGAAAGACAAAAAAGAGCTCTTACTTGATCTCTGATATCTATCTGATTCAAAGACAAACAATCCTGACAGACTCTGCAGAACGACCGCACCTCCTTCTTCAGGCGCTTCAGTTCTGCCTGGAGTGAGAGAGGCACACAATAACAGAGGAAGACAGATTAAATATTTTCTTATCTTCTTACTAAGGCGTGTGTGTGTGTGTGTGTGTGTGTGTGTGTGTGTGTGTGTGTGTGTGTGTGTGTGTGTGTATGTTGGCAGGGTTGGGGCAGTTAGTTTTCTAACTTAGAAATTCAGCTCCTTCTACACACCAACAACAGAAATCCTAATTAAACCACTTCAAGTGATAAGATTATTTTGGCTGCTCCCTTATTCACACAGCGTTGCCACAGCAGGTAGCTCAGGTAGCCCCTTTCTGCTATAGCTCACAAGAGATTCGTGTCTCCTCCCAGACTTGGCCCAGGAAACTTTTGCTTTTGTCAAGCATGGAACCACCTGTTAGAAGTAGCATCTGTACATTTTGAATTGTTGGTGACACAATCTTCAAGATACATCTTCAGAGTTTTAAAGGTAGAATCTGATGCTCCCAGTCTCCTGTCTTTGTTAACTATGTCAAAGCAGTCTGTGACACACACACACACACACACACACACACACACACTGCTGCTATATCTGAGCCATCACTTGAGGCCATCAGGATTTATTTAGCTTTTATTTATACAAGCTTAAAGTCAAACCATCCATCTCACACACAACAGCCCCCAGCTGCCATTACAGTGTGTGTGTGTTTGTGTGTGTGTGT